TATGGGTCATCCTTAAACCAGGCATTCTTAACCCAGGGACTACCTATATATGCATAATCTGGTTAGAATTTTTTTTTTAATCTTCAAGCACTGTAGCTTTTCACAAAACAGTATGCCATTTCATAAAAATGTGAAAAACAAAACAGTGCTGAGTCCCAGGTGCATTTCCTGGATGAGTGAGTATATGATTTAGAGAGGCGTAAAATTAATTCTGAAGATTATACATCTAGTCCCTTATTTAGTGAGGTTAGCATGCATTACTGTATCTTACACAAATGTGATGATGCTTAAAAACTGGGTAAAATTATTGTTTATTTAAAGTCATGCAATAATCAAGTTAGCATAAATTTTGGGTGGAGGATTATATGAAATTTAGGTCCATATTAAGCTCTGTTCAAGTGTTTGCACAAATCAGGAACTAGAAACTGCTAGCTTCAACATCTGCATGTACAGATACTGCTTTATTTTAGTTCAAATGGAAATGGTGCATTGTTTCCATATACTGACCACAAGAACTGAGAAAACAAGGAAGCAAATTCTCTGCCTTCTAGTTATCATAAATATGCTATCTGTTGGCCAATAGAAATTAACATGTGTGAAGCATTTGAAAGAGACACTTCTTAATGTGTCTTAGGGCGACCAAAGCACTCCTCCAAGCATTAAAGCAGCAGCATCCTACAGAATGCTCAACACAATTGCTTTGAAATCTTTTCTTATTTGTGTCTACCATCATGTGTTTTACTTCACAGCTGCTGTACTACCAGAGTCTCAGCGGAAGTATCTGTGTATGCCCATGTGGACAGCTGGGGAAGGTCTTCAAAGCATCTTTGCCAAGCAAGCATGGAGCTGTTTTAATGCTTTGAGATAGGTGCATTGCAAAGTGTACCTTTTAATGATACTGATTTTATACCATTCGTGTTTAGCTTATATTCATTATTGCAATATTAGTTTATATTAAGAGTATTTTACAAAGTAAACATAAAAGACCACAATCATCTTTATGTTTATTGTGATTAGTTTGCTCCTAAGGAAATGTGCATAAAATAGAAAATCTGCTTGAACCATGTTTAGAGTTACATTAATGTTTGCTGTATATCATGATCATAATTGAGATATCAGTGATTTGCTAATTCTGTCTTATCCTCTATGATATTTATGATATCCCCTTATTGAGCCATTTCCAGCAAATCATAAGGGAAACTTAGAGAATTTCAAGTCATTCACAATTTGCATTTTGGTAGACTGAAATACTGTACATGTTCACTACAAAAGGTAATTGTATTTCATTTGGTGATGTGATCTGATGTAATCTTGCTTTGTTTTCATGCTTTGACAGTTGTAACATCTCTATTAAGAGTCCAGTTATAGATATTGGAATCTGGTTGCCAAGGCCCGAATTCCAATCACGTGACCGTGGGGATGTTGTGATGGCCACAACTTTGAGGACCAGTTGCAAGTCCCCCCTTGCCAAATGAGTGGCTGTAACCCAAGGACTACCTGCAACAAATTTTATTAAAAGACAAACGCTTTTATGAGCTACAGCTGTTTTCATCAGATGCAATGTGGTGACTAGACTGATGTACAATTTAAATTGGGATGTGATGGGGAGAAAGGAGGGGAGGACAGAGTGGTTATGCAGATGCAGGTTACAAGCAGATTACTAGTACCTTATTAAATTAACAATTGTAATGTATTAAAAAACGCATTGTGTTTGTTTTGATAACCTGGATATCTTTTGAAGTTGTGAGTTCAGCAATCTCTCTCTCCATCATACTGGTGAAGTTTCTTTTTTCCAAGATGGCTATTTTGAAGGTTGTAATGGAGTGTCCTTGAAGGCTGAAATGCCCTGATATGTTTTGAATCTGATGTCAGACATAGGTCCATACATTCTTTTGCCACACAGCTTGGCTTGTTTGTCTTACATAGAATCCAGAGGGGCACTGTTGACAGACGATGGCATAGGTCACATTACAGGAAGGGCATATAAAGGCTCCTCTAACCTTGTGTGTGAATTTGTTGGAGCTTGTGATGGTGATGTTGATGTAAATGTGGGGACAAAGTAGACATCTGCGCTTGTTTCAGGATCTGTTTCCCTTGTTAGCATCATTCTCCTGTTGTTTCTTGCTCTTTGTGAGAATTTACTTCGGGTTGGGTGGTTGTCTATGCAGATATAGCCCTACCATCCAATGCCTGAGAAAGTGCCGTATCGTTGTCAAATATGAATTATAGCTTATTAATAATGCATTTGAGTGGCTTGAGATGTGAGCTGTAGGTGACATACAGCAGAGTTCTGTTCTGTTTTTGTGGTCTGTCTTTTAATATGTCCTCCCTGGAAATTGATCTGGCTTTATTGCTTTGTCTATTGATATTGTTGAATGAATAGTTCAGTCTTCTGAATGCCTGGCTTAATTCCGTCAACTGAGCCCCTCTGCAGTCAGAATGAATGCCATTGTAGCGTAAAGCTTGGTTATAGATGATAGATTTGGTGGTGTGTTTTGAATGGACGTTAGAAGCATGCAGGTATGCATGGTGATCTGTAGGTTTCCTGTATAACATGGTGTCCATGTTAGTAGTTTTACTGGGATGTCAACGAAGTGGGCTTGCTCTGTTGATCAGTAGAGGCTGAGGTTGACGGTGAGATGGAAGTTGTTGAGATATGGTTGATTGTGATGAGATTTTTTTTTTTATGGGTCTAGATGACAAAATTGTAATCCGTTAATCTCAAGTAAAAGAGAGGTTTCAGGGATAAAAGCTGAGAAAGTGTTCTATGTAACTCATGAAGATGTTGGCATATTGTAGAACCGTACATGTGACCTGGCTGTGGCATTGATCTGCAGGTATTTGTTATTGCAAAAGTTACGGGTGAGTTCAAAGTTAGTATAAAGTTACACACATCTTCATGTACTCTTTCTTTAATGTGATATGTGTCATCATCTGCCAGCAATGCCCCTCTGGATTCTATGGACAGGCCAAATGTTGCACAAAGGAATTAATGGACAGAAGATTGATATCAGAACTCAAAAGAAGGGCAAAGTATTATCAGAGCATTTCAGTCTTTCAGGACAGCCTATTACAGATTTCAAAACAGACATCTTGGGAAAAAAGAATCTTCACAAGCACAACTGAGTAAGAGATTGCTGAATTTATGTACATGAAAAGGTTTCAAGCTACCTATGAAACAAACACAAATGATTTTTAACACGTACAATTTTTAATTAATAAGGTCCTTGTAAACTGTCTCATATGTAACCTGCATCTGCATAGCCACCCTCTTTGCTGTCTTCCCCTCCTTCCCCCCACCTCATCCCGATTTCAGTCTTACAACAGTCTAGCCACTCTACTGCACCTGAGGAAGCGAGCTATAGCTCACAAAAGCTTATGCCTTTTGATAAAAAATATTAGTCTCAAAAAGCACTATCAGACTCCTTCAGAAATTCCTATTTCTTTTTTTCTGCTTGAGGCCAAGGCAGCTACTCTCTGGGGTAATAAACACCTGCTGTTCATCTTACAGCCTAAGGAGAAGGTTTCTTAAGAATAGGACAGACGCTAGAAGCCTTGGGAGTGAAGCAATTGTTTCAGCTTTGGGCAACAGAAGCTCAAGTTCCTGATATTGTGCAACTTGCAGGAAGGATGGCTTTATTCTTGCATTAGGCAGTCTGTCAGAGCCACAGTGTGTAAATTCTGCAAGTGGATCAGGAAAGAAAAACAACTGTGGACCATAAATGTTCACCCCTTGAACAAAACCACTTTGTGGGGCATATTCTTTGAAGGCTAAGTTGTTTTCAAGGGAGCTACCTGAGCAGATTTGTTTGCTGACTGACAGTTTTGTGCAGTACTAACATTTCTCCATTATTTACCTAGCTTTAGGTAAGTACTTTTGTGTGAGACAATGTGTCTTCCTACGTGTGTGCTATATTCCCAGTAATAGAACAGGAGCCCATATCCAGGCTAGGTCTCCATCTGGGATCAGATGTATCTTCTGATTGTGCAGGTGTGGCCATCTAATCTTATCTTTTTATATGTTGTATCAGTGTTCCTGACCACCATCACCTATCATTCCTACTAATGTGTGGATTGAGTTTGTCTATAATTTTCCTGGCTCCCCACCTACCCACCAGTGCTTGCTGTACGTATTTTTTTTTTCAAAAGTATTGCATGTAGAGATTTTGAATCCTACCTTTGACATGGAAATTAGTTGTCATATATTCTGAAATACAGATATCTGTTGATGATGGGGAGAAAGAATCGGTCTCTGGCTTTTTACCCTGTAGAACAAAGATTAACAAACTTCAATTTTGCAGAGTCTCCTTTCTTTAAAGTCAGATCTGCAGAATCTGTGCATTATTAATTTGTATTCTGCCATTTCCAAAAGACTACACAAAACAGTTTACATAAAAAATAACAATCAAACAGTGATTAAGTGGATAAAATCATTATTTTAAAAATAATTGATTAAGATCAAAGGCAGTTTTCTGAGATGAGTGCAGGAGTAGATGGATTTGTTAGAGGATTTGTGTCATATGGCCTAAACACTGGTTTCACTCATCACACTAAGTTGTACAACATTAGTTATCACTGAGAATAGAAGATTCATTCTTTATTGTAAGCCTAAACCAAGCAAACCATGTTGTGGCCAGGTTTGTTATCACATAATATGGACCACTAAAACTCATATTTCATTAGATATGTATTATATATCTTATGATATTGTATATCACTGTATTTAACAATTGAAAAATTGCTTGTGCGTGTGTGTGTTTAACTTTGAAAAGTCCTTACCATGAAGGCTACACTGACTCAAATCCAGTCTCTATTAACTGGGGTTTTTTTTCCCTAATAATGTACCTTTTTCTGTACAAATGCCACTCTGGATAAAAGTTTAATATAGGTGTTTAAAATATTGCCTTTTTCTTTAATACCAATTATTGTGTTGTGTGTTTGTAGACTAGACATTATAAGAAAGGGACAGAGCTTGCTTTTAGTTTTCCAGAAATATACGGGATGGGTAAAAAACGACTAATTTGGTTGGGTTATCCCTAGTTTGGTTGCCTGTAAGATATGACAGTGAATAACAGACAATTTTCTGCAGTAAGAGAAGAGTTTCATAATGAGCATAATGATTTCATCCATCCTGCCTATAATCTAAGCACTCACCATTTGCACGATTCCACTATGTGCCAGAGACAGCAGTATAGATTTGGTTAGAACAGCATCAGGAGCAATGCCTCATTTCCAGCTAGTTCACCAAAAACTGCTTGTGCTTATAAGAATGGGTAGGGCTTAAGAGAGAGCAATTAAGGTATTAACATGTCCAATTCTTACGTTACCACAGCATGGGATTAGAGCTGCTGCTATCTGGCCTACTCCCATACAGCAATCTTTACTTGGAAGAACCCAATGGACTGTGTAAATGTTGCAGTTCCTTCCCTTGTGTAGTCTTGTGGTATCCATGTCTGGAACTAGACCGGAGCCTGCAGCAAACTCTGAGCCCTTCAGTGTGCATAAAATGAATGAAAACCTGGTTATTATCTTCATAGAGAAGGGAACCCACCAAAACTAACAAGTCCATCTCTGTTGCTCACCTCTTAATCACTGGAAGTATGTATCTGTAGTCCTGGAGTGATGCTATATGCATTTCTGTCTTGCCTGCAGGGTCCTTCATGGACTAGGCTAGGAAGCAAAGTCGATAGCCATCATGGGGCAAAGTGAATCGGAGCCACAAGAGGAACAAGAGGTATGGCCACCATGCTTTTCACTAATGGATAGCCAGTCGCTCATCTACTTCCTCCTGCTATTCCTCTCTTTCTTTCTTCCTTTTGCTCAGTATACTTACTCAAGTGGAGGACTCAATAGTATATGTGCCTTTCACCATTCCCTTCTTAATAAAGAGCGCTTAGCTGTCCCATGTAGCTTTTTTTTATGTCCCATGTAGAGACCAGTTTGCTTTTAGACATGAGTTTGCATGTGTATGTTTCCAAAAATGAGTTTGTTGGCTGTCCTCTTTTTACTGCATTAGCACTTAATGCAATATGGTTCTTGTCGGTGAAATATTTCATGCATGAGTGGAACGTAGTACCTAGTACATCCTGGCCATCTCCATCCTGATGCCCTTCAAATGCAAATCCAGTAATTACCAAGCAACATGTCCAGTGCTGCTTAGAATGATGGAGTTTGTAATCCAATACATCCAAAAGGCCTAGGATGGAGAAAGCTGCCTTGATACTGCTGCACCATAAGACGCTCTAATCTGTTTTGCTTCCTCTTTGCCATTCTTTGTTTCTGAGAGCTCTGGCCCTGCTCCCTCCCTCAAGGCCTGCTCCGTTCTCTCCACTGCAGGATGCAACCCTGACAGTTGTGCTTTCCAACATCAAGCTCTTTGTGGAGGATCAGCTCCAGACCAGCATGGTGAGGGGGAGGGGAGGGAGAAAGCTTTCAATGGGCCTGGCTCAGCTTGGCATGCAATGGTTGTTGCCATCTATGGCACAGAATAACTTTCTTTTCCAGACATTAATGGTGAATGCAAGAGTAATCTTTGCATGCCTGAAAAAAGCCAAGGACAATGCCATAATATTGGTTATTGTTTCTGTGCAGTATTTTTATTATTCCAGAAAGTGCTTTGAGAACTATTTTTCATTTCTGAGCACTTCCCATAATAAGTATTGTACCGAGGTAACATAGAAGCCAGAAAAGCATGACTGACAGTGGCCGAACTGGTTCATCTGGAAAAAAGCAAAATTATCAGTTCTCATGCTATAATATCTGAATATGAAAGACTTCCAGACCCCAAGTATCAGACATCAAGTATCAGACAACTGATACTTGATGGGAATGCAATTCCATCATAAATAGGATGCATACCTCTCATTAAAAAAAAAACCACCAATTACTAAACCCATTTTTTATTCAGACAGCAAAGGTTTCACTGGAAATTTCAGATATCCAAAGAAAAAGCACACCTCTAGTTATGTTTCTCTCTGAAACTGTAGCTCTTCCATAATACTTATCTACTGGATGCATTGTTGCACAAATCCAGATGACCAGTAGTTGATAGTCAAGAGATACAAAAGCCCTTTGCTTCTACCTCCTGGTAATTAGATCAAAGAGTCAGCTGGTCAATCCATAGTTACACAGATTTTTGAAAAGCTTATCATTTGAGGGTACTGTGGGAAAGAATAAAGTAAAAAATTGCAATGCAATGCAATGCAGTTACCAAAGCATTGTACGTGTCAGTTGGAAAAAGCTTTTCACATCCAGCATGTGAATGTCAGCTCAGGGAGGGCTGGAATTAGGCAGGGTTGGCATTTCAGCTCAGGGAACCACCAGTCACAGCCCTCAGGGTGCGGTGCATTAAAGCTGTATAGAGCAGTGCAGGACAGACCAGTTCTGGGTATGCAGTATGGGTTTGCTGCAGAGGCAGCAGGTTTGAGGGTGGCGTGATTTCCTACCAGTTCCAAGATTGAGGGGAGCAAACCCAGCAAAGTAGCTGGGTGGATGTGGCCTATGTAATAAAATCATTATCCCAGTGTCAGGCTTCAAAGGCAGTACAGTGGGACAACGGAAGTGAGCTTCCAGATGATGTGACTTACTCTTTTGTTTCTCATGGGCAGGATTTTGAAAGCAATGATCTCAAATGCAAGAATGTGTTTAATTTGAAAATATATGTTCCAGCTTCATTTCCTTGGCATGAAAGCTGGTGCATTTTACATATTTGGTCAAAATGGATAAAATATAGCAAGTTTTTCCTATCCCTAATGTAATGTTTAGATGTTTTTACTATGTTAAAGGCTGTCTTCGTCATATGTGCCACATGAACCCTCAGTTCATTCTATCTTAAATGTTCTTAAAGTTCTTCTTAGCTATCTCCTGTGATCCTTTGCATCTAGTGATCCAGAACAAGAGATCTTTTACCTTGGAAGACATTTTCTATCTGCTTAGTGGTTCATTGTGTGGAGGGTTGGCCATCTACCTGCCTTTTAACATCCATAGAACATCAAGGACCTCATACAAATATTAGAAGATCCCCATCCCAGTTGTCTTTCCAATTACAATTTTGGAAGTTGATGTGTACATACGCAATTATTCATGTTTCACTCCAAGATTTGCCCAAATGCTTGTTTTTGAATGTTCATTAGAGGTTTTATTAACCTTGTCTTGGTTTCTTTTCCATTGGCCTTAGCTTTTTGATACTTTTAACCAATATATTTATATTTAGCTAAGTATTTACAAACTCTGACCTGGAAGTGGGATTAAGAGATTTAAGCAGACTACTGAAAAAAAAAATGTTAGAGGAGGAGACTAGCCTATCCCAGGAGAACAAGAATAGTTTTTATGTACTTTCTTTGTCTGTTGCAAATACTTGGAGGGAGTTGCAGATATATAGATAGTCCTCATTTAGCAACTACAATTGGGACCAGCAACTCGGTCATTAAACAAAGTGGTCGCTAAGTGAAACTGGCTGTGCTTATGATCTTACTTCAGCTTTCCTTTGCTTTACAAACCTGCAAAGGTCATAGTTGCTAGGACTAGTCATAAGGTTACTTTTTCATTACTGTCATAACTGTGAACAGCCGCTAAATGAGGCAGTCATTAAACAAGGACTACCTGTATTTCTAACCAGACAACTAAATGGCATGGTAGTTCAAGCTGGATCAGCTCCATACCTTACAGTTAGCCTTGCACTGATTCTCAAACACAGGCCGTTCTAAACTCATTAGTGCTCCACTGCAGGAATTAGATACAGCTAAATTTGCTGTCCTGGGTTGGAACTTTTGTATCTTTGGGACTACTGGGAATGTCAAGCAACTGAATCCCTTTTGTATCCAGCCTCCAAATTGTTCCATGTCTGGAAGCAGTTTCCCCTGTGGACCATCTTAGTCAGTCTACAACAAAAATCTTCCTTGTAATCTTTGATCAGTAAAGTATAAATCCAAATCCTGATGGCTTCCCAAGGCTGGAATCTGCTATGAGTAGATCCAGAACAGCAGTGTCTCTTGGTCTGGTCTCCACAAAGAATGATGGAGGCACCCCGAACGTCTCTCTAGTAAACAGTTGGCTGGAACCGTTCTGATAACCATAGGCATCACACCAATTGGAAACTAATTCTTCTCTATAGGTGTTGGGAGTCGTGATAGGAGCTGTGCTCTCAGTGTTGCTTGTTTCTGCTTTGGTCCTGGTGTTAATCCACCGGTTTCATCTTCAAAGTAAGTTCACTTTTGACTGTGAAGGGAAGCCATGTCCCACAGGATACCTTTTGGTTTGGTTTGGTTTGGTTTGGTTTGGTTTGGTTTGGTTTGGTTTGGTTTGGTTTGG